GCAGATCAGCGAGGGATCAGCGAGGGAATGTGTTTTTTGTCATTTCCCTCGCTGATCCCTCGCTGATCTGCGAGGGAAATTTTCCCTCGCTGATAGTCGTCGCTGATACCTGGTTTTCTAGTAGTGGTCTTCTTCTATTACCTCAGGTTTTCTTATTTATCTTAACTTTGAAAGTTAATGCATTTTCATACATAAAATTAGTTGTCAATTAATTTAATATAATCTTCAATAAAATATTAATCATCTGAAAAGAATAATTAGACTATAATGTTAATAAGACACCTCTGTACTTTCACATCGGCTTTGGTGTTTAGCCCATCGTCACTCTGTTTATTCTTGCGAATGATGTAAAGACTGAAAAATAAATACTTATACGGGAAAGTAAATTGCAGAAATTAAATTACTGGAAATTAAAATACTGGAATATAAATGACTGAAATTTAATTGCTGGAATGTAAATTACAGAAAGGTAAAATGCAGAAATGTAAAGTGCAGTAATTAAAGTACTGGAAAGTAAAAGACTATAAATTAAATACTGAAAATTAAAATACAGAAAACTAAATATTGTAAATTAAAACTATTCTAAAAGAGTTGATATAAAGTAAAAGAAAATACTAGCAAATAATAAAATAAGAAAAGTTGCACTTTAAGTTATGAAACACTTGTAAACAAGTTTCATTACAAAAAGTGAGGAAATACTTGAAATATATATATATATATATATATATATATTTTAATGGTCGGGACAGGGACCGGCTCATTATAACCGGTTATACTTCATCTTAACCGGGCTCTTCATTTTTGACCGGGACCGGTTATGACCGGCACTGTTGAGGCCGTCCCGGCCTGTCCATGACCGTTTTTTAACCATTACTACTTTCATCTAACAAAGAAAAAACGACAATTATTATTTGTTAGAAAATAACACTTTTTGGTGATTTTTCCGTGTCATTTGTTGGTAAGGTCAATAAATTAAAGTAATCCATAATGGGGGTAATGACTTTCAAGTCAAGGAATTATATTTGATTTGAGAGTTAGAATTTTGATTTAACTAATCTGGTTTTGTTTATATATGATATTTATGTGTATATGATTTTTTTATATTAATTATATGTATATAAAGTCATATATTTATTTTTTTGGGATTGTTTACCAAACACTTATCCGGTATAAGTGCTTACATGTAAAATTTAACATTATTATTGACTTATCCAGTAAGATTTTAGTCCACCAAAACGGTATCGTATGCAACAATTTACTCGGTAAGCGCTTACCATGGTAAGAGTCATCGCCCTCACTTTTTTTTTTTTGAAGTATATAATATTTATATCGCCCTCATTTACCGGGTAAGACTCTTGGTCCTTGGCTCACTTTTACCGGGTAAGATTCTTGGTCCTTAACATATTCATCCGGTAACATAATAGGACTTTTGGTATTCACTTACCCAAGTAAGCGTTTGGTAAACGGCCCCTTAGTTCTTATCAATTCCTATAATGTAAAAAAAACCATTTGAATGTTTAATTTTTATGAAATTTCGTTAGCTCATTTAGAATAATCAAGAAGAAATTTAGGTGCAATCGGGAAGAGAAATTTAGTCTCGCATATTGTTATGTGTACGTTTGAAGCTATAAAAATGTCAGCTTTTAGTCTTAAGAGTGCGTTTGGTACGTAGACTGGTGGGACGGGACGGGACAAAAATAAATAGTCTCATGTTTGGTGTATCATGGGACAAAAGTGAGATTTCATGGGACTATTCTTGAGTTTTTCGTTTCCACCAAAAAAATGTTGAATAACATGGGACTAAACTTGAAATTACAATATTATCCTTATTATTTGATTTCAAATACAAAACCTAATTCCATCGCATCCTCTTCCTTCATCTTCCAGCTTATCGATTTTAGCCTCCGTTGTAGAACTCGAAACCCTCCATTCCACAAGCTCGAACTCGATTCCAGCCTCCATTCCAAGTACGATTTCTCCTCAATCTTCCATGATTATCGATTCCACAATCTGAATCAACGAAAGGAGGAGCCTCCATCTTCTCTTTTTTCATGGTTATCTATTCCTCCTCCATCTTCACTTCCATGATTTTGGATTCCACAATCACTTCCCCAATATTTGCAGTTCCACTATCTAAATGATAAGGGTTCTGACAGTTCATTTTCTACTATATGGCTATATTTTATTATTTATAAGAATGCCAAACCCATGGTTTCTGCATGTATACATATTTAAAAACTGCAGCTTAAATATTATAGATAAAATTATTTAAATTATTTTGGTTGATTTGTACCATTTACAATTATCATATGATATTAAATAGCATTCAGGGGCATTCTGGTCATTCTAACAGTTTTGTCTTGTCATGTTCAGCTTACCAAACGCAAGAGAGACAATTAGTCCAGTCATATTCTAATCATACCAAACGTAATGTCCTACCCAGTCCAATTTTGTCTCATCCAGTCTACGTACCAAACGCTACCTAAGGGATCACCGGCCACAACTATCATCACATCTAACACAAGCCCGACTCAATTCTCCAACCATTTTTTATTGCCAAACCCACTTATCATATCTAAAAGTTATTCAAAATGTTTACAACATCTTAAAGTTAACTTAATGTTTGATTAATACATTAATTATACAAGTTTGAATATGTATAACACATTAACTATTTATTAAGTTTAAAAATATGAATCAAAGAGTTGACAAGTTAACTTGACTTGATCCAATCCATATATTAAAAACAATTATTCAATATCCATTTTTTTATTAGTAATTCAATATTATGTTCAATTGACACCTAAGAAACGTGAAGTGAACCACAAGGATGGTGACTGATTGGTTGAACTTGGCTTTAAATGTCAAAAATGTCTGGAAGTCCCATATTCAAATCTAAGGATGAACAAAAATCCACTTATGGCCACGAAGGTTCAAATACGGTGACTCCAAGCTACCTACAAAGCAGGTGATTGTCCCGGGATTAATCGGTTCGCATAGTAGGTTGGATATCCAGTTAATGAAAAATAAAATAGAAAAGTTTGAAGTGGGCATTAGGTTGTCACTTGGGCTGTTGGGCATGTTCAACAAATTCATCCCCTTCTTTCTCTATCTTTGTGGTTATTGGCAGACCAATTTCAATGGTTACAAATACAATCCATATCAATACCTTCTTCTTCTTTTTATAAATATTCTGAAAATCATATTAACGAAACTTTTCTTACGTCTGTAATGATGGTGTTGGTTTTCGCTTTTGGTATCTGTTCTTCTAATGAGACCCAAAATGAAATGATACTTGATATCTGCAAGATCAAAATTAACATTACTCTAAGATAATAAGATTTGGTAGGAGGAATGAAGAGATCAAAATCTTTATTAGTTGTGTTTATTATTATTATTATTTATTTTTATAAATCACAATAATTAAAATGAAATCATCTTTGATTTTATTCATATTCTAAGTTTTCTAAAAACTTTCGTTTTAAAGAAGCAGCTTTTAAAACGTCTTATTTACGGGACTCGGTGATCAAATTCACGTCCCCAGCGAAAACAAAAATTCGGAAATTGGTTCCTTGAAATAAGATGTTATAAAAATGGGTAGGGTTTTAAGAAAATAATTGAAAAACAAACATATTTAATGAATTTGTTGTTTTGAATTTTGAAAATACAGATAAATATGATGACTTTAGGGACTATTTGGAAATGAAAATGACAGAGAATGAATTTTTATTCCTTTCAGTTTAATTTGGAATGAAAATTTGACCTTGTAAAAGAATGAACTGATTATATTATATACAATCAAACTGTTTATTTATTTATTTATTTCTAATCTCATTAATTATTGATTAATACCTCATTCATATCGAACACCCTTAAATCTTAAGATGATGATTTTCGCCTAAGGCTTTGGATCTTGGTGTCTTTGTTATCAACCTTAAATCTTAAGATGATGATTTTCG